ATTGGAAAATAAGCCTAAGAAAACTTTAGAAGAGATGTACTCTTTAGACAGGCATCATATTATGGATTGTTATGAGATTTTACCTGAAACATTAACCGAAGATTTTATCTCTAAGTATAGAAATTATAATCATATGAAATAGTTCAGAGCTTATAAGCAATTGCGAAATGCTAGTACTAACAATAAAAAGGCTGTTGAGGCAATCACTCGCAAAGGTTATAAAGAAGATAAGCTTACAACTATAACTCAGGCTGAGAAGCATCGAATCTGTCTAGAATTACTAAAAAATTGTACACCTGCTAAAGATATTGATGATAAGGCGAGATATAAAGCTGATGATGTTAAAATACGTCTAAATTCTCCTGAATAAACATCATATCTCTAGGATTTAGTGCTTAAAATGGCTTGAGTGTTTAATAATACAGATACATTGCGCAGTGCTAAAAAATCAGGATTAAAAACAATTCAAGCAAAACTTGATTTACTGAACTCAGCATTTTACGCAACTTATGGAGTAAAATTTAAGGCTATAAATAAAAGTCGCAGGTATTACTACCTAAATTGGTCATTCAATACTAAAGATGCTTCTATATTACCTTCATATCAAATGGGTGAAGAAATTTATTGGGAAAATGAGAAAGATACTCAGTATGGATATAATAAGCTCCCACCTGATGAATTAATATTAGATAATTTTACTAGTTCTAGCAAAGTAGATAACACGTAAATTACGGAAGATATTCAGAACTTATTCAATATGTGCTAATATCATTTGATTATGAATCAGGTATGTGTAGCTTTCTTCTAATTTTTTATATAATATTTCTGAAAAAGGCTACATCTATCAGCATATGTTATTAAAAAAAACCTATATTCTTGCATTATTCTAGCCAGAATACATAGCCACATGGGAGTATTTCTAGGAAAATCGGGTTCCAAGAAATTTTTGACTAAAATAAAGAGCTTAATACATTTTAATCTAATAACATCAAAAACTAAAATGTAATAAAAATCTCAATTTTGCTAAAAAATTCCTGGAATCTGATTTTCCTAGCAATCAATCCACATATTTTTAAGATATAGGCTTCTGCCAAAATTTTATATAATAATCGAATAATAAATGAAATAATATTTGTTTTGTTTAGTTTTTGATAGATAATTCAGAGGGAATTCCTAATGCTCCAAATTTCGAGCTAACCACTAATCCCCAAAGAGGTTAAAACCCTTATCATCTGGCTTAGAAACTGGAACTTCATAGATTCTGGATGACTTTGGAGTTGAGCCTTTAATTACAACTATATCACTTAGTATTTCAACCTGGATTGAATCCGTTAAATTTCTTCCTAACGAATCTGCAAATAGTTGTAAAGAAGCGGAAAATAAGTGTTCATGGGTTGAGGCATTACTATCATCTGATTCAGAAATTAGAGCTTCAGAGATTTTGGGTTGAAGGGCCTTAGCCTCATATTTCTGCCTCATTCGATAATTATGTGCATGATACTTTGCAGAATATTTGAAACAATATTTGGCGCAATACCCTGAATCAGTATCAGTAGAAAATCCACAAACCAGACATGGTCTTTTTTTTATATTTTTTTCATATAATTTCCAGTGTTTTGAACAACCAGTAGTACGAGTACAGATTCTCCCACAAATGGAATTATCTCTCTTGATATACGGGCAAGTAACATGATCTATAACAGTATTTTAGGATATAGAAACCCTTTCACTTTTATTGCAGATTAATTTTACAATAAAAACTATATTTAAATTATTCAGTATTAAGATAAGTCATAAAGACTTTTATACTAACACTATGGATATATTAGATCAACTGACAGAGTGCAAGCCTGAGGGTAAAGCTCATGAAAAAATATATAATCTCAAATCTAATCGCATGATAGCTATAAATGGGTTAGTCTATTGTAAAATGCTACTCGAAGGCTATATGCATTGGAAAGAAGAAAGGCTTTTAATCCAGCCTTTACATGAATTACCAATATTAAGATGATATCTTTCTTTCATTTCTTATCGTATTTGGGATATTGTATTAGAAAGAAGTTTACTAGCAGTGGTTAACAAAAAAATCAGCCTATTGCAGATTTTACTCAAAGCTAATTAGCACAATCTCACTTTATGCCAACTATTAAAATTATGCTGAAAGCATGAAGAGACGAAAGTTTGGAGAAATAATATACTCATAAAATTCCTTCACCATCTGAATCTAGCTCCTTCGAAGCATAGACTGAATGCTTTATATGATGCATTCACTAAAACAAATGTTTTAGAACAGGAATAAATATTAGCACTAGCGCGAACATTTTACTAAAATGTGATTATAATACAAATTATTCTTAGTCTTGGAATGGGGTTCTATGGCTATGTATTTTTTTCGCATATCCTATTTACCTACAATTTTCAAATATGTATAAAAGATATTCTGGCTGGAGCCGATGGCCTCATAAAGAGCCCGCAATAAGTTATAATATTCTTTTTGCCCACTGACCATGAGGTAGATAAATAGCGGAATAAATTTTTCAAATTGAACTTTATCTCACATAATATAATCTGAATACTACGGATTAATCTAACTACTACATACATTCTACACACCACAAAATGTCCGCTATTACAACCAAATTCGTTACAGACCGCAAATTTACTAATGAGATGAGTATCAAAGAGCTCAGTTAGTATGCATCAGAAATGCGTAACCTCTTGAGAGATGATAGAGAGAAAAGGCACTAGGCTCGTAATCATCTCCAAAAGGGTATCAATTTAGTAAAGAACAGGCATTCACATTGATTTCTGACCAGAGAAATAGGCGGTACATAAGTCAAGTACTGATCCTAAAAGAACTAGAATTAGAAGCTGAAGTTAATATAAGCATAGTATATGAGAACGTCCTAGAAGGTAAGACTATTAGAGAAACTGCTCAACGTATTATTCAGGATAATCTTAGTAAAAGAGATGTAAAAGCAATATCTAGAACTTTAATCGAAACAGCTTCTGATCCTGTAGTTACCTCATCACGTCTCTCCAGGCTTCAAAGAGAATTGCGAACCCTCAATGCTTTAGAAAAAATAATCTCTACTACCAAGATTTCGGAGATAACCAGAGCATCTAATAAAATCCAACAGGAGCGTACTGAGCAATGTAAAAATAAAGAACTTCATTATCTGGATCACTTCTCATTAGAATCAGTTAAGGAATGGCTATATTTGTATGTTGTGTCTAACACACCTGATAAACAGACCCTAGCTGATGTAATAATCATGCTCTGTATTCGTCCTGCTGAAATTAAAAACTTGTATATAGCAAATGGAGATGTAACTGGATACGCAAAAAATCGAGGCCAACAGGATATTCCTCAAGTGTTTAGATCACTAGAAAAAAATGAGAAGCGAGCAAGACAATTACTTATATAGATTTAGAAAGCAATCATTTCTGAAGCGTTAAAAGATCCAGGAAAGCCTGGATCAACATACTTAAGTTCATTTCTGAAAAAAGTTAAATATATTCCTAAACCTTATGAGCCACTACTTCCTAGTTCTTTACGCAAATTGGAATCAGTATTTGCTAGCATAACGCATATGCCTAAGAATCCGTCAAAATTTAACACTTATGCTAGAGAAGCTCTTTGACACAGCCCTGACAACCATGTTTTTCCATCTGATAGATATACTATAGTCAATTACAGAAAGCAGGGTCAACCTTATGATCAAGCAAGTCCTTTCAACATCTTTGATGAAAACGGTTCATAAGGAATCAAACTAATCACATATATGGATTAAAGAAGATCCTAGAGGAATCAGATCAGGAGGATTAGCTTTCTAATCTGATATCATTTTTAAATTTATTTTTTCGTTCGCCTAAGATCTAGCATATATAAATATCACAAAAATGGTAACTGATCAAAATATTTCATCTGATGCATCCAGAGAACAGAAAGTTATTAGATATACAAAGATATTAGCCCAGTCATTAGGACTAAATGAGCAAAATGCAGAAGTATATAATGCGCTTTCCAGTGAAATAGGGCACTAAAGAAACAATTAGAAGATTATCATTCCCAATATAACACTTTAGAAAAGAGGGTAAAAAGATTAGAAAGAGATGTTAGAATCTTAAAAATCAAATTGGAAGATCTGGACGAATGTGTAAATAGGAAGACTGTAGTCGACTTAATACAAGAAATAGTTCTCTCACTGATTGGTAAAAAAAGTAAGGCTTTGTACTGTTTTTTCTATTCATCTGAGTCCTCTGAAGATTCTGATTCAGTTGAGACGATAAGAGAGCGAAAAGCTATTCTCATGCTTTTACGCCTTTGGCTAAGCAACAAAGAAGGATACGGCTGAGAAGAAAGTCTAGGACAGTAATAATCAGCTCAGAAGAATTTGCTGAGTTACAGATTGTGCAATAATAACCTTGCAAAATGCCTTAATGGCTATTTTTCAATTGAAAAAATCTTCTAACCATATAAAAGGTATACAGCTAATTTACTTGATCAACTTACATCAGAATTAATACCTTTTATTCTAAAGTATCTTCCAGACCAGGATCTAAAATATGCTAGCAGTATAAATGATATATAGGAAAGAGAGGTAAATCTTGAACGGTCCAGAATAGTTCTCACAGATTTTCAATTTAGGATTGACATATGCGCTAATACAAATTACATTAGTGAAAAAATTGTGAAAATAGCATACGCAAAAGACAATAGTAATTCTAGAGTAAATGGGTTTTTAGGTGAATCTTATTCTACATTAGGAAAGGGTAATCTATGTATTATCTTAAATGCTGACGAGAAGCATAAAAGTATACTCACTGGCGGGAGATCACATGTGATATAAAATTTAAATTTAGCCAAATCAAAAATTATAATATGTTTTCTACCCAAACAATTAAATAAAAATGAATATGTCAGGACTTTTTTCATAAGTATAAGTATATCTAGATAATATATCTGCCTAGAATAGGTTATCTTTTTTCGAATAAATATGGAAATGTGCACAAAAATATGCTAATCACTCCTAGATATGATATATATTATGCGAAGCATCTGACTAATTCCTGTTAATCATGAGAGATCCACATGCAAAGCGCCTAGTTCAAAGAACCCCTCTGGCTCGCCAGCCTGTATTAGATTATCTTATACTCTGAATTTTCTTAGCATTTTTTTGAGATCACACGGTCTCAGAAATCTGGTGACTTTATAACCTATTTTTCTTAGTAAAATGTCACAGTCTCTATATATATATACTAACTAACTTTTGAATATTTCACTTCTTATATAAAATTTATCAATCATGTCATCTGAGCTTGAAGTATTGAAACAGCGTATTATTGAATTTGAGACTAAAAATGCCAAGCTTAAGGCAGAAAAAGCTGAACTTTTAAAGCGGATTATGAAGGAGAATACTAAACATGATATTAAAGTTGAGGAATTGGAGTGTAAGAAGCTTGAGACTAGACTTGCGATAGTGGAACAGGCTTCTTTACTAGTAAAAGAGCAGTCGTATAATGATAATCCTTCTGAAGATAGTACATCTAACTTTAATTCAGTTGCAAAGTATCATGAGAAACTATTGGTAGATGTGAAAACAGATAATTCCTTTCCTGAAGAGGTTTGCTATAATAAACAAGAACTAGTGGCGATGGTATCTGCCAACTCTGCGAAGCACCTTAACAGTAAACCATTAGAAGAGAAAGATATGAATAGTTTCTTGCTTGAGGCTCATAAGAAAATTGCTAGTAGTGAAATAAAGCAATGCAATAAGAAGAAGAAATTTTTACGTGAGTCAGCTAAAAATCAAGTCCATTTGAAATTAACATATGATAAAAAAACTTTCACTAAAAATCAAGATTCAAAATTATCACGTGACAAAAAAACCGTTACTAATGGTAACGATCAAGATTTGAAATTATTACTTAGCACAGGCGATAATATCTCTGCTTTATCATCCATTGAGAACAACTTATCATGCGACATGAAAATGATCACTTGTACTAATAGCGAGGATACCCCATTTGATGAAATATCTAGGCTGATTGTTACACAACCCTTGATAGAAATCAAGCTACTGAATAAACTTTGAAGCATGAACTTTCTAGGCCTATTTCTTCAGTGGGATCAGTTAAACTACATGATAAGTCCATTTTAAACAATACAATTGAGGGCTCTACGCAGAGATTAGCTTATTAGATTGATGAGGCTATGAAAATGGGTCTAAAAGAAATCTTATGTTTGTATCATTATTCCTTTGAGTTCGAAGAAAAAGTAAAAAATATTACAGCTAATGGTAAGACTAAAGATAAAACAACAAGATCAATGATATACAAAGAAATGTTGCAGTATTTACCTAATGTCACTCTGGATAATTTGTGAATTCAAACATATAGGGCCAAAAATATTCTTATGCTATTTGGAAAAAAAGGGGTTGGGATCGATAGAATTAAGTTAGTTACTTGTAATGCGAGTAATATTTCTAGATTAAATATTACTCAAATTCAAAATATTATAGATAAAACTCTTTCTTCTTTCACCCTGAATTTCTAAAAATTTTAGAAATTTACTGAGAAAATAAAATTGTTTCGCTTAAAAACTTTATTTAAAACTTTACAACTCTGTTAGCTAGTTCTTTAGCTCACTTTTACAAAACAGTTTAAAATATTTGAAAGAGTTTATTTTTATTCGAAAATTTTACAAAATGGTTAGAAAATCAGCAAAAACTTCTGTTAACAAAACTAACAAAGGTTGTTACGACTTGCTCAAAGCCAAACAACCTGAGGTTAGCGGTTCTTCTCACTTCAGAGAAAAGCCCAATTCATTCTTGGTTAGTGATAAGAATATTATTGAAGATACTTACGTCAGACAAACCACCCTACCTTCTAATGTTCTCGACACCCAAGAATTTGTTTCCATAGAAGATGATACGAACATGGAGACTGAAATCTCTGACTTTATCATTATTTCTCGCCCTTCTCCTTTTGCTTGCGCTGCCTCTATTAGCAAATATACTAAGGAACTCCTTACTCCCAAATCATCTGTGCGATCAACAATGTGTTTGCGCATAATGATGCATTCAGAGGGCTGAATGTACGCTGTGTAAATTTTGTGCGTTCTGCAGTTATTTACTTCGATAATGCAGAATCCATGTAAGCCGCGCTCACTACCCAACTTCCTGATTTGGGTATTGATAAATTTGTAGATTATACTGAACATAAGGATAACACACAATTTCAAAATAGAACTTTACGTGTTACTGATATTCACCTCAACCTGAAAAAAGATACGATCACCTCAATCTTCTCCAAATATAGTACTATCACAAATATCCACATGCAGACCAGAGACCTATGGCAACATGCATATATTACCTATGACAATCCAGATGCAATCAAATTGTTTTACACAACATGGTCTAGGTATATTTACAATGATTGTGTTCGCATTTACCCTGCATGCTTCTCACCAGAACAAGTCAAAGAAAGGAATGAATACAGGGTTAAATTAACCAACCTTTCCTTTGGAACTTCCGCCTGTGATCTCTAAGATATTATACTTGCTGTCAAAGCAAAATCTTGCTATATTCCCCGTTCAAATAACTATAAATCCAGACCATTCGCCATTCTTTATTTTGAATTAGCTGAGGACTTAAAAAAAGCCATCACAAATGATTATGCTTTTGGTAACAATGAATTACAATGGTGCGCAACTGACTCTAAATGCTGTCACAAATGTGACGCAGCTGACCACATAGTCATGAAATGCCTTATAATTCTAGAACAAAAAAATCAACAGACGACGTTGATGAATCCAGACCCTAGATCTAAATTACCTTCCGTTCAACGACTCTACAATCGCTTCAAATCTGTTGGATCACGCTCACTTATTGTCAAAAACACCACCTAAAAGAAGATAAACCAACAAATTTCTACTCCTCCAAAACCAATCATCAACAAAGGAAAAGGACCACAAACAATCGTTGATTCCATCCACAATCCTCAAAATACTGCATCAGACGAAACAAACAAAAAACTTGACAAAATCCTTAACATGTTAACAAAGATGCAAAAAGATATGTCTAAACTGAAAGCACGTATCTCAAAATTAGAAAAGTATGAATTCAATTCAGACTCTACCTCCATCCTTTTCACCTCTAACATCCCCATAAATCTGCTTCACACGACTTAGTCTTAAATTTCAATCAAAAAAAATGCATTCGTATTGTCAACTTGTCATCTGATGAAAACACCTCCACTTCTAAACCTGTCGACCCCAAACTTCAAGAATATATAGATGAACAAAATGCTATCATCAGAGATCTTCATAAACAACTAAAAGAGGCAATGGCTCAAATCACCCTTCTTACCAACAAGAATACATAATAATTCTCTCACCCTTAACCTTTATTTCTAATCATGATTGATAATAATAATAACAATCTTCTTAATACTGATAATGATACACCCATGTTTTTATCACAACCAGATATTACGTCTTCACCTGCCCCTACTATTACTTTTACTATACATAACGTCAATTCTCTTCAATGTTCGACCAAAAATCAATTTATTAACGACTCTTTCTCAGATTTCAATACTGATTTTGTTGGCTTTACAGAAACCAGATACAAAGCTGATCAAACTTTTTGCAATTCAGCTGACCCAAATTATACTTCCTACTGGAGTAATAACATTAATACTCATGTCGGTATTAGCATTCTAATCAAAAAATCTTGGGCAATTTATGTTCAAAAAACATTTTTAAATCATGATAGATTCATCTACGTTAACCTTTACTTAGCTGGTAACGTTAAGTTTAGAATCTTTTGTAATTATTTACACGCTTCTACTGAAATGCGAATCAAGAAAGAATGGTTAAAATTACATAAAGAAATTATTACCCACATCAAGAAAGGTCTTAAGTCTGACTTCAGAACTATAATTCTAGGTGATTTTAATGCTAACTTAGATACATATTGGTCACTTGTCCGCAAAGGAAAATTGATTCATTGGTAAATAGAATTCTATCAAAAACTTTTTGCCCTAAATTTTATCGATCTCTATGACATATGTCATGATACATCCCAATCAACATACAATTCAGGACTTCATAGTTCTCGAATCGACACTATTTTTGCTTCACATAATTTCACTTCAGAATTTTTATTTTCCTACATTGACACTTCTGACCTCTATTCTTCAGATCATAAAATTGTTTTTGCTTCCTTCTCTGATTTTTGCAAACAGCAATCTGCCAGATCTCGTAACCTACAAAACAAAAGGCAAATCCCTAACCTAAAAGCAATGAATAATGCTAAATGGACTGAATTTGCCGCACACACTAACCTTTACTATCGATATCATAATTTTGATCAATTTAATAACCTTTCTCATAACAACTCCAATATAAACATCCTATGGATCCAAATCAAAACTGCTATTTTTGCAGCAAATCGCAGCTGTATCCCTCAAATTTGGATTTCTCCTCAAGAACATTACAAACATCCCTTTAAACAACCCGACTCTCTCATAAGCGCACGCAAAATTGCTTCTTTTTTACTAAAATTCAAAAACACTTTCATTCAACAACAAATCTGGCCAAACGCTATTGAATGGCATACCATCAAAACAGCTGTTGACAAATTAGTTATAGAAGCCAAACTTCCTACTATCACTCTTTCCCTCTTGTTAGACGTTTCTAATGTTCGTAATGTCAAAAAACAGCTTAAGAATATTCACAAATTACTTTCTGCTCTTGCTAAAATCGATGTCTAACATATCCAAGAAAAAGCCATCAAAACCTTTATCGACAAAAGATGTGATAATCTTCAAAATGACTCTTCTAAAATGATTGATTCAATTTTAAATAGAAAAAAACGTTCTATTGTATTAGACTGCCTACTCATCAAGGATCTGAACACGTTCACAAACCATTTCACAATTAATCCAGATGAGATCAAAAACGCTACTATTAATCATTTCCAAACTTTGCACTTCCTTCTTCACCTGCTCCACTAATGTCTGCTAAATAGACTGACCAATTTCACCCTAGAGAGTATGTTAACGAATCATACTATTCAAACTTAATGCAACTACCTACATATGATGAATGGATGGCTGTTCTCAAATCACTTTCTAATAATAAAGCTGCTGGTCCTTCAGGAATCTCTAACGAAATGCTTTTCCATCTAGGAGACAAACTTCAAAATTTACTATGAAAACTCATCTGTATGTGCTTCATTTTAGGTGACGTTCCTAACGAATGGAAAATCGCCCATATTTATCCTATTCCAAAGCCTATGGAATGGGAATATGACATAACAAAAACCAGACCCATCACATTATTGGAAACATGTCAAAAAGGCTTTATCAAAATCATTACTAACAGATTCTTCACAATACTTGCCAAATACAACATACTACGTGGTGGGAATTTCGCTGGTCTACCTGGTGGATCAACTGAAGCACCTATCAAAATTGTCAATATGTTGCTCAAGGATGCTATAGAAAATAAAAAAAAAATTTGGATTTTACTCCAAGATCTCTCTAAAGCCTATGACAGAGTAGACTTAAAGTTTCTTCGTCTAGCTCTCAATCGCATCAAAGTTCCCCAATTGGCTACCGATCTTCTGATCATTCTTTTCACCGCAAGAAAAAATGCTGTTTTTATAGCACATAGAACTTCAGATTACTATGACGTAAAAATTGGTATCGATCAAGGAGAAGTTATATCACCCTTACTCTGGTGCATCTACTTAGATTCTCTTCTTTGTGAAGTTGCCTCACTAAATAAAGGATACACTATTAATCACACTTGGACCTCAGATTTGACTAATATGACCACTAGCTCTCTTACTGCTAGTGTCTCTTCACTCGCCTTTATGGATGACACTAATTGGATTGCCAGTTCAAAACAAGATTTAGAATCTATACTTGAAATCGCTGAAGAATTC